CCCCCCCCCCCCCCCCAAAGAAAACTCCCCGCAAGCCCCCACCTTCCCCCCTCTCCTACCGCTTCGCGATCAACCCCCACGCCCCTTGCCGGAGAGCACGACCCTTGCCGGAGAGTGCGGCCAAACACTTTCCCCTTCTCTCACCTCCGTTTTCCAACCCTCTCCGTTTCTTGCGCCCACCGGCATCATCCGAGGATCCTTCCCCGTTCCACCTGCGGCTGGCCTTCTTGGTCCGGTCGATGGGGGGAAGCGGTGCGCCTACCTTCTCTAGGGCATACCTGGCCACCTCTAGGGTGCTCTGTTTCCACGCAAGCGGGAGATACGTGAGGGGAGCGGTGGGAGGGGGTGAATAGAGAGAAGCGCTGGTAACCTCTGCTACAAAATAAACATACAATCAAACAAGAATAACTACTTCTTTTCTGTTGCAACGGGGAAGGTGGGGAAAAGGGAGCGTGCCCATGTTTCATTTGCACGTCCTAGCTGTCAACACCTTTGGCTACGCGTCGTCCAGGCAATGGAGCATTGGACCGACCGCCCATGGCCAATCGTCTCTCCCCACTTTACCGAGGGTGGCTCAAACAAAATTTCCCCATCCTGTTCTACATCACCTCAAATACCCTTTAGCGATGCGGCGAATTGCGCGAACGTCAGAACCTGGAGACCATAAATTGGGGCCAATCACAACTAACATTGTAGGCTTTGCCGCAATATGATCTGCCGCGGTTGAACTACGTAGTGACAGCCAATGAACCTCAGCAAAAGGGCTTTGTCGTGGCACCGTCTTCGTGCTTCTTGTCGTTCAAAGTTCTGTTTCTCGCTCCACCAGAACGGACAAACTTGACTATTTTTCGGTCGGAAATTGGGCCTAGTTTAGACGCCTGGCTGTTCTTAGAGACGGCAATTTTCCTCCATTTGCGTGTGGCTGCTTTTTCCTGCTCCCCTTCCCTCTTGCGTCGTGTCACCACTGCCGTCAAACTTGTACCGCAAACACAGCAATAGGCGTACCGTACCGTACTGCTGTACATTCGCATCAGTGAGATTCGTATTCCTATCATTATACTTAATTTTTGCTGTCAAAAGTGTACTGCGAACACAGCATTAGGTGTACCGTACCGTACTGTTGTACCTTCGCATCCGTGACCGAGTCGTGAGATCCGTCCTGGATGTGCCTGCCTAGGGCTACCTTCACGACGTCCTTGAGGCTGGGGGTGCTAAACTTTTCATCGCTTCCCTCGAACAGGAAAGAGGTGTCTACGACCCGGTCGTGCGTCATCTGACAAAAACAATATGGAAAGGGGGGGGGGGGGGGGAAAACAAGGAAAGGCCAAAAAAGGGGGGAAAAGCAGGGAGGGAAAAGGAAAGAAAAGGAAAAAAAAGGAAAGAAAAGGAAAGAGGGGGAAAAAAAAGGAAAAAAAAAAAAGAAGAGGTGCAGTGAGGCCCACCCAAAAACAAGTCCAAAACAAAAATGCCCCGAAAAAAACCAAAAGCGAA